GTTCCTGTCAGCCTTCATGCTCACGCGTGGGGGGCGTGTTCTGGGCCGTAGGTGGGACGGCTTGCTTCGGAACCAGGTCTTCTAGGATTAAACAGGGTAGTGTGTTGAGCAACCGGGATCTTCCTTTAAAAGGTGTTGCAGGCCTCCTGGCTACAACTCCTTAGCTGCTGCTTACTTATTATAGTGTATCTATTCCAGGTATGTGAGGTACTCAGAAATTATATGTGGCCTGGGAGTGTAGCTCAGTGGGTAGAGCACACGCGAGACACAGTGGGAAATATACATGCTTAATCCCTTTTTAGTTGGGGGCGGGGAGCAGGTGGTGAGTACAGAAGCCAGGGCCTCATGCATGCTAAGCACGTGTTCTGTCAGTGTTTCCCCCTTAAAGCCCACACACTGGCCAGAGGTGATTGCATTGTTTAATGTGCCCTCTCACCAGGACTGGTGGCGCACACCTTTAATCCCAGCACTCGGCAGGCAGAGGCAGGTGGATCTCTGTGAGTTCCAGCCCAGCCTGGTCTACAGAGCGAGACCCTGCCTAAGAATGAAAATGAAACGAAGCCCTTTCTCTCCTGTCCACTTGTTGAAAGCTAGACCTGCCCCCCCCCCAGAAGCAGAGGCACGGGGGAGACATTTCTCCGGGGCTGGCGGGGGGAGAGCAGGGGAGCAACAGGTCATTCGTGTCCCCTTGAGTCAGAGGCTCCTCGGCACGTTGACACAGGCCACCCCACCCAGTCCACCACACTGAGGAGAACTGGGTTCACCCCCACTTTCCCTAAGGAAGCATCAAAAGACTTGAAGAGGTCAAGTGTTCGCCCAAGGTCATAATTAGGACAGAATGGGTGTTTTCTCCCAGCAGCCTGTGGCATGGCACCGTGGCACTTCCCGCTTACATTTGGTCCCATTGAGATGCCCTTGTAAAACTGTAGTCACCACATCCCATAGCTTCTTTTCTGCTTCACACTCAATGTGTGATTCAGACTTACTGTTCTCCCCAGCTTTGACTTTTGGGGGGCAGGGTAGGGGTTCCTTTGGTGTCTTTATAACAGAGAATGATCACTATCTATCTGCCTTGATGATGGGGTCCCTCAGGAAGTTCAAGAACTGTGGGCCCACGGTGTATAAAAATTAAAGAAGTAGCTGGGTGTGTTGATGATGCAAGCCTTTAATCCCAGCACTCTAGAGACAGAGCCTTCATAGTGAGTTCCAGGCCAGCCAGGGCTGCACGGTGAGACCCCATTGCAAAAGAAAACAAAGAGAGAGAGAGAGAGAGAGAGAGAGAGAGAGAGAGAGAGAGAGAGAGAGAGAGAGAATGAGAATGAATGAATCAGGGTGGTAGTCCGTAGCCACAAGTGTGGCAGCCTAGAGCCTCAGTACCTGAGAGGCTGAGGAGGCAAAGTAACAAGTTTGGGGCCTGACCAGGCTACACAGTAAAGTGTCTGATTTATTAGCATGAGGACCAGAGTTCAGATCCCCAGAACCCAGTGGCATGTCCCTGAAACCTCAACACAGAAGGGGTAGCAAAAGGCAGATCCATGGCAGACTTTGGCCAGCCAGTCTAGCAGGGTTCCTGAGCTTCAGACTCACCAAGAGACCCTGTTTCAAAAAATAACCGTAGAGAGAGGTTTGGGAGAGCTATCCAGTGTCAGCCTCCCCTCCGGCCTCCGCACACATCAGCAGGCAGGCACACTCACAAGCATGTGCACACACCCATACTAACAACTACATCCACCACACACACGGACACAAGTCTAAAAGATAAATTATAAAGTACATATAAAGTATATGAAATTATCAGTTTTTTAATATATAATTTATTTTTTATTTCACGTTCATGGGTGTTTCACCTACGTGTATGTCTGTGTGAGGGTGTCAGATGCCCTGGAGCTGGAGTTACAGACAGGTGTGAGCTGCCATGTGGGTGCTGGGAATTAAACTCATGTCCTCTGGAAGGACAACCAGGGCCCTTAACGGCTGGGCCATCTCTCCAGCCCCAAATTACCAGCTTTTTTAAATGCTATTGACCAAACAGTATGCTCTTCAGACACAAGGTGTAAAAGTGAAATGAGAATTCATAACCTAATTAACAAATGATCACTATATCTCACATTGCATTTCACAACTGGCCATTGCTCATACTTTTGCTTAAGTTTGTCTACCTTGGTGGCTCACGCCTGCCAACCTCCTACCTGGGAGTCAGAGGTCACCCTGAGCTACAGAGAGAGACCTTATATCAAAACACCCTTCTCCGTATGTGCCCGGGAAGACGGTCTGAAAGTCAGGAAGCTAGGTGGTGACAAATGGAAGGTTGTGTTTGGAGTCTGAGGAAGGTGATTCTCCTAACCGTGGGGGGCGCCAAAAGCAAAGCTGCCCTCCTGGAAGACAGCCAGGTACAAGGAGGGCATGCTGGGCTCTGCCAGTCGCCTCTGTCACACATTTGAGCCGGGTGTGATAAGACAGGCAGTGGGACCACCCTGTTTGCAGGGACCCAGGCCCTGGTAAGACAGGAAACGTCCCTCGCCTCCTTCCCAGTCTGTCATGAGGCCTCCTGGCATAAGGTTAGTCATCCCAGAGTGTCAGCTGCGGGCCGGGACATGTGCAGGGTTTGGATGCATCCCGATGGCAGCGTTAGGGTAAGCCCTGGCTCCCTCTGGGAATCTCATTAAAGAGGGAATTCCAGAGGGCTGGGGAGATGACTCAGTGGATAGAGTGCCTGCTGGGAAGCTCAGATCCTGGCACCCATGTGAAAGCCAGGCACTGTAGTCTGCGCCTGGGACCTCAGCACACTGGGGAGGTAGAGACCCAAGGACTGCCATGCCTCCCCGGCGGCGGCGGCGGCGGCGGCGGCGGCGAACCAGCCTAGCCAAAATAGTGAGCTCCAGGCTGAGTGAGAGACCCTCTCTCAAAAAATAAGGTGGAGAATGATAGAGAAAGCCACCCACCTGCCCTCCATGCCCACATTCGTGGGTGATTGTGCCCACACACACACACACACACACACACACACACACACACACACACACACACACACGAGGGAATACTAAAGTGAAAAGTTAATATCTGGATAAAATATGTCTACCTGGACATGGCCACGGTACTTGTGTGTGGAGGTGGGGGGGAGGAGGAATCTGATTTCAAAAGGGGCTGTTTTTATTTTGTTTTTCCTAAAGTCATCCTCGTGTGTGATATAAGCATATGGGATTGAACCTTATACACATATCTCAAAATACTTCTGTGTTTCCCTCTACCCAGATATAAATACATTTAAGAAAGTAATAAAGGGACTAGGTGCAGTGAGATGGGTTGCTAATCCTGGTGCTCGGGAAACGGAGGCGGAAGGCTCTCCATGAAGGTCAAGGTCCCTGGGTACACAGGGACACCCTGACTCCAGAAGGAAAAAAAAAAGATGTCTGGGGGTTTAGCTCAGGGGTAGAGAACATGCTAGTGTCTCACTCCCAGCATCGGGGGAGGGGGCAAACATGGCGTAAACATACCTGTCTAAAAGAGAAGGATGGAGCGTGTTGAGACCAGCCTGCATAAAGGGCAGGCTAGCACTGGAAACCTTAGTTTCCTTTCCAGTACCCAGAATATAAATAAATAAATAAATAAATAAATAAATAAATAAATAAATAAATAAATAAATAAATAAATAAATAGATCACTTGGTATTGTAGCGGCGAAACATATCACTCATTTCTCTCAGAGTACTAGAGGGCTTTAGGGTGATGCCAGGATGTTCTTTGTCGGCTAGCCTTAAAATATCCTCTGCTCTCAGTCCTGGAGAGGAATGTCCTTCCAAGTGAGGCATGCATAGGAAGCCGCATGTTCGCTCATCAGGAAGGATTAAAGTCCGCTCCCAGGACAGTCCTCCCTCTACAGCAGCGGTTCTGGAACACCCTTCCCATTGCTGTGACCCTTTAACACAGTTCCTCATGTCGTGGTGACCCCCCCCCCATCACATCACTTTCATTGTCACTTCATACTTCATAACTGTAATTGTGCTACTTGTTAAGAATCTGAAACTAGACATAAATATCTGATGTGCAGGATATATGATATACAACCCCTAAGGGGTCACAACCCACAGGTTGAGATCCTCTGCTCTATAGCAAGGGCCCAGTGGAGAGTGCAGGGACACCCTTCTGAGAGGTGTGCCATCCACGGAACACAGTTTGACCCACAAACTGCAAACAGTGCAGGGCGTTAATAGCGCGGGATTTTCCAGGAAAACTTGTTTTGGGGGGGAAGTGGGGAAGGGAAGTAGCCAGATGATGCTGTGAAAAGTAAAGTTAGCATCCTGATGCTGAGATCCAAGGGCTTTTCTAAAATAGGGAAAAGGAGAAGGAAGTGATGGACGACTCCATGGGGCGGGGGGGGGGGGGGCTAATGAAGGAGGCCAGAAATTCCCAGAAGGGTCAGAGGAGGAGACGAGATACCCAGGCTGCAGGCTCCCCTGGTAGCCTTGGGCTTGCTGGACATTGAATTTGAAATGAAATCAGGAAAAGTGGTCCAGCGACACTCATAGGGACACTGTCTCCTTTGTAGGGAAAAAAAAATTGTAACTTGTGGGTCGATCTTTTAGGGATGTGGCTAAGGGAGACACAAGAGTTTAAAAACTTTGTGTGTGTGTGTGTCTGTCTCTCTCCCTATTAGGATGATCCTTTGAAAAAGCACAGCTTCTCACCTGGAGGGCCCCACTACCGTGTGTGTGTGTGTGTGTGTGTGTGTGTGTGTGTGTGTGTGTGTGTGTGTGTG